AACAGTGAATGTGTGTTTCACTAGTTAAATTAATAGTTTTTAAGTTGTTTTTGCCAAATATCATGTCAATATTGGTGAGGATGATTAGACAAATTTTTGGTAGCGCTTTACCTTCCACATGATATTCTTAAACATAAAATTTGACAACAATCGGTCTAGTAGTTTCGGCGAATATCTGGCTAATAAAATTTGACAGATGACGGACGGACAGACGAAAGGCAGACGGAAACGCGAAACCTGGTTTTTCGTAGTCCAGAGGTCATAAAACGTCGATAAAAAATGAAAGTAGCCATTTGTCAGCTAGATCCTATTACAATATATATATAACAAAAATGATCAAGTTTTATTTTTAACCGGTTCTCAAAACTACCGCCATTTAGGGACAGTGATGATGATGAAGGCGTTGAATGATTAAGCTGTTCAATTTGGTTTGTTTTTCCTGTCCTCAAGATTTCTTTGAAAGGAGATTTTTATAAAAGTCCTGAGATGCATGTTGCATTGGTCACAAATTAATGTCTTTAAACCAATTTATCTTCTTTACATTTTCTTTATACAGAGTTATTACTCTGATTAATTTCCTTAGTTGAATGAAAAAATATAAGTTCATGCAATTCGCTTCTTGTATAATTTATTAATCAAGTGTCTCGTAAATGCATCAAATCTCCATGAATATTTAATGTCAATTTTTACGATAATAATAATCTAGAACAGACTTTGCTACAAAGAAATTTAGTGGCTATAACTTCGTACACTAATACTTTGTCTCAGACAGCGTAATATAGTATAAAATCATACTGCAATCTCTAATTTTTTCAAGTATTACCGTAGAATGATAAAATATGCATCCACTAGCTTCATTAATTTTATTCCAGTCTGTCATTTGCATTCGTTCCGGTTTTTATGCGCACAGAATAGTTTTATCCTTTCCCAGTCTTTTCGTAACGAACAAGTGAGTCGGTTTAAAATGAAAGAATTCAAATGGAAACGCACAATTCGAACAAATTTATTAATGCTACATTATTTAGGCTTGTGGCCCAAGAATAACGAATTGTACAAATTTAATTTATATACAGTTTATACCTTCATTTCCACGGTGTTGATGATGGGCGGTCATAATTTTTTTCAAACTATGAACGTATTTTTCATCTATAAGGACTTAGAAGCATTGGTTGAAACATTCTTTATAGCGATTATGGATCTGCTGGTCTCTTTGAAGACTTATTTTTTTATACGGAAAATTCGCATTTTAAAGAAATTAGTGTCGGAACTGCGTGATCCTATTTTTCAACCGCAGACAAGACGACAAGTTTTATTAGTTCAACCACGACTTAGCAGCTGGAAGAAAATTTACCATTCGTATGTGAGTGTTGTTATCGGAACTGGACTTTTCTGGTGTGTTGTCCCACTTTTGGACGGTTCTTTCAAAGATTATCGGCTACCTTTCGCTGCATGGTATCCTTACAACACACGATCTTCACCGTCTTATGAACTCACCTACATTTATCAAGTTGTGTGTTTCTTATACCTTTCCGTTGGAACTGCAACCGTAGACGGAACTATTACGTCTCTAATGATGTACACATCGGCTCACTGCGACATTTTATGGGACAAAATGAAGAATTTGCCGCCGGAAAAGCCATCTTCGGCTAGAACCATAATTCAGTGCATTAAACACCACAATAAAATTTTACGGTAGGACAGACTGAAAAAACAGTTCTTCATTTTGAAAATTGTTGTGTTTGTAGTTTTGCACAAAATGCCAACCGATTTTTCCAGTTTATAGTTTTGGGACAATTTTTTACCAGCACGGTTGTTATAGCATTGACGATGTTTCAGATGACGTTGGTAAGTTATTTTACAATCAATTTTGTGACGGATTTGTGCTATTTTGAGAAGGTTGATCCTTTTAGTAGCAATGGGTTGTTACGACTTTCATACGCGGCTGGGGTTACCATGCAAATTTTTATCTATTGCTGGTTTGGAAATGAAGTGGAGGTTACGGTAAGAAAATTATTAAATCGGAAATTTGTTGTTACAGTTAGGGTTGTCCTAGTTTTCATTACAATTCAAGTAGGCTGCAAGTCAAAACCGAATATCAACTTCTAAGTTTACTGATTTTTTTTGGTAAATTAGCTATTTGCTTTTATTAGTTTCAAAAATGGTGGATGCGCCGGGTAACTTCATAGTATTTTGTTAATTTTGCGATTTTTATGTTTTAAATTTTTAGTAACTTTTACAACTCTAACAATAATGAAACTTATTTTTCTAAGTCACAAAAAATAGCACCAATAACCAATTTTTACATAAATTTATAGCTCATTGAAAATGTAAATGAAGACATTACCAACCTATTTAAAAAGAACGTATCATCAACCGGAGAAACTAACCTTGCATAACAACTCATATTGTACGTAAATAAATTAAATACGCTAAATTAAATGAACGTATCAAGGTTATAGAATTAGTGTTCATGAATTAGTAAGGTGTCAGACGTTAAAAAATTACATCCATGTTGGTACAAACGCTCCATATAAAACTACCACCGTCTAGAAGCCTTTATAAATTAATAAAGAGTCAGTCCTTAAAAAACTACATCCACTTTAGTAGGTATTAACGTACCCTATAAAACTACCACTGCGTTTATTCCACGCAACCAGCCAAATCTTAATTACCACATTCCCGTATGCGCAGTAGACTTTCTCCATCTATACACAGTTTTAGTGTGAAATCCGTGTAGTTCAAATCATGTCGGTGCTTGCTCTCAAAACGCAAAAATTCGACTTTTCAGCTCCGATACGACCGATACTTTTACAGCTAGAGTTCGTAGGGTTGTGGCCGCCGGGTGACGGAAGTTACAAACTCAATTTTTACACATTCTATGCAATATTCATACTAACCATTATTTTTGGAGGCCATTTTTTTTTCCAAACAGTGACTTTGTTCTTCGTTTACGACACGATTGAAACTTTCGCTTCGAATATATTTCTCACGATGACTGACATTATGATTATGCTCAAGGTATACAATTTTATAAAACACACGAAGACGTTGAAAAAATGGCTGCAACTTTTGAAAGAGGACGCATTTCAGCCGAAAGACGATAGGCAAATACAGATAATAAAACCAACCGTAGATCTTTGGAAAACTACCTACAAATTTTTCTTTGTTCTCGTTTGTTTAGCAGCGTCCGTGTGGTCTATAGTTCCATTCTTAAATAAAGCCGCCGAAGACAAAGAACTGCCTTTCCCAGTATGGCTTCCTTATGATCATACGGTTTCACCGTTTTATGAACTGTCGTATGCTCATGAGCTTTTCGGGCTCTGGTTTATGGGCATGACTAATGTGAATTTCGACAATTTGATTTTTGCTTGCTTAACCTATGTGGCGGCTCAGTGCGAGCTTTTGAGTGACAACTTGAGGAATATGTTAAAATGTGCTACTTCACAACACGAACCCCTTGTACACAAGGGAATAATTGACTGTATAAAACAACACAAAGAATTACTAAGGTATACAAACTTGTTATATCATGCTCAAAAACTTAAACAAAACTTAACTTTAGTTTAGCTGAAGATCTTAACGCATTTTTTGAGATAATCATCCTTGGCCAGTTTGTTGCCAGTACGGTCACTATTGCGACCACGTTGTTTATGTTAACTTTGGTGAGTCACTGGATATAATTTGAAAGTTATTACTGATACTATACTTTGTTAGGTTAATCCTTTCAGTTTCGAAAACAAAGGTTTTATCGTAGTGATGTACGGGTCTGCTGTTTTCGCGGAAATTTTTTCTTTCTGTTGGTTTGGAAATGAAGTTGAGGTAAAGGTAAGATGTTTGTAATTACAGAGTATTTTTCTTGATAATTAATCAACCGACATATTTATCAATTATTTTTAAAATATACACGACATAATTTTGAAATCTATGTATCTTTATACACTCTTTTGACTATTACTAAATAAGTGTTTATTATTATTATTACTTCACAATGAATAGGGTTAGTCCCCACACAATTTTAGCAATAGTTAACTTGTTAATCGGCTAAAATTATAATAAGAAAATTGCTCCTATCACCATTTTTTGTTTTAAGGAAATTTTGCTTTGTCATAAAAAGTAATTTACCAAAGGAAAGAATATTTAATTGTTTTTGTAACACGGTTCGTCGCTTAACCTAACGTAAATGTCTCTACGTTATTAACACACTATATCTGTCCATGTCATAAATTGTTTATAAATTATAGATTGATAAACACATTCCCATTCAAGAAGTAATTACAATTTATATAAAACATGTAAAGACGGAGTGAGTGCAGATAATAAATTATTAATCAATTTTAATCAGTCTTCAAGTCTAAGTTCAACAAATTCATATTATAAACGGAAAAAAATATGGATACTTCCAAAATTATTTTGAATAATGAAAGTCGATCGATTTTATGTACCCAATACTAAGTAGTGAATTAAAATGTATTCAAGTATCTATAAGAAAAATTTTAATTTAAGGGCCTAATATTTTCTACATTTGTGTCCCGAGATTTTTTAAATTATTTTTTCCACGAACAGTCCTCAACAACGTGTCATTGATTTAGTGCGCCATTTTGAACCACCCTGTGTATAAACGCCAGAAACGCCAATATTGAACCAACATGTAACAATGTTTTCTACGACGTGTTGAAGTTTTTCAACCACATAAAATATTAATGAAGTGTTTCTAATATCATTCTCACAAAGAATATCAAAGAATCACAAATGTTACACTTTCGTACATCTGTACAAATCATTATAAAATTTTTACATATCAACCACTTAGAAACTAGGACATTTAAATAAAAAAACCTCATCAATAAATTACCCTCCTCGACTAAGTTTTCCGGTGTATTTCGCATAATTTATGATTTACCTTTGTACCTATTAGTCACAGCAGCTGTGTTTATGCGCAGACTAAATTTCTCCTCCTTATATATTTCGCTCAACATGCACACGTCAGTGTAGTCTAAATTATGGCAACTAGTGTGCTCGCGATGCAAAGATACGATTGGTCGTCCGCGATAAAACTAAACCTCTTGTCGCTACGCTTTATAGGTTTGTGGCCTGCAGGCGACGGAACTTACAAGTTGAATTTATACTCACTCTACGCATTTATCTCGATAATTTTTATTCTGGGTGGTCACGTGCTCTTTCAAACAGTGACGCTTTTTTTCGTTTACGATAAACTCGAAACGGTTGCATCGAACATTTTTATCACAATGACGGATATTCTCATCTATGTGAAGATGTATCACATTGTAAGAAACGTGAAGACGTTGAACAAACTGCTAGATTCTTTAAACGAAGACGTGTTTCAACCGAAAGACGAAAGACAGATTAAGATCGCCGAACAATCTATAAATATCTGGAGCTATGTTTACAAGTGGTTCAGGTTTTTCGTTTATGTAATTGCAACTATGTGGTCGACATTACCGTTTTTGACTGGAAATTTTAAGAAAAAAGTCTTGCCTCATGATGTATGGTTTCCTTACGATTATAAAGTGTCACCAATGTACGAGCTAACGTATCTGTTTGAAATGTTTGGAATTTATTTTATGTCGATACTTAACGTTAATTTCGACACTCTAATTTGTGCTTTACTGACGTATATAACGGCCCAGTGTGATCTTGTGTGCGACAATGTGAAAAATGTTGTTGGTGGTCATGTTTCAAAACAGCCTCACCAGGTTCATCAGAAAATCGTGAATTGTATAAAACATCACAAAAAATTATTAAGGTACATGTAACTATGAAAATACTGTTGTAAATTTATTAGCAACTAATTAATTTTAGTTTGGCTGAAACGGTTAACCACTTGTTCGAGGTAGTCATTTTTGGACAGTTTATAACGAGTACGGTTGTTATTGCAACAACTTTGTTTATGTTAACGTTGGTGAGTCCAGTTGTGTTTAAGTTTACGGTAAAACAAAGTCGACGTTTTGTAGACCGATCCGCTAAGTTTAGACAACGAAGGATTTCTTATAGCTTTATACGCAGGAGCTGTTGCTACTGAAATTTTTACTTATTGCTGGTTTGGAAACGAGGTTGAAATTAAGGTGAGAATCGAGTAGATGGTTATGTTTTATATTTTCAAACTAATACGCGTAAAAATTATTTCAAAAGGAACTAAAAGTATTGATTTTCTGTCGAATTTTCACAAGTTATAAACATACAGGAATAAAAATTTGTGTGATAATAATGGACCCTATAAAATGCATTTTTTAATATATTCCTATTTATTTTGATTTTGTTGTAATTACTAAAATCGCTTTCTGTTCCCGTTTGAGTTTGACCGTATGAAGCTCATACGCATTTTATAATTAACTAGCTGACCCCGTGAACTCCGTTTCACCTACAATTTAATTTTGAATGTGCAAAATCGAATGCTTTGAAATCTTGCAGATGTTTTAAACATATGATAAGCATAATAAATTTTTATTCAAAATGTATTTACTTATCCCCTCCAAAAAATTGATGACGTCAGCCCAAAATTTTGCCAAATGAATCCTATCTAAAATGTCCAAAATAGGATGAGCCTATACTTGTGATTTATCATTCCATTCATATTTTTTAGTTTTGCTTATAGGAGCTGTCTCAAAAAAATTAATCACTGAGTCAATTTATTTTATTGATTGAATCAAGAATTGCAAAACTGAATTTTGAAATATTGCAGACGTTTTGAAGTTGTTGTTTGACATGGTAGGTTTTCAATCAAAATATATAATAATAATAATAATAATTTTTATTGAACCAATTTTAAATAAATAAATTAAAAACATTGGTACAAAAGGTACAGATACAGCAAAAACTGATATTAATCTGACCTGACATTAGTATCTAACCTAACATTAGTTTTAAAAAAAGTTTAATTATTAATAATTAAATAATTATCTGTTTATCAAGCCCAAAAACTTGAAGACGTCATCTCAAGATTTTGCCGAATAAATCCTATCTAAAATGTGGAAAATATCATCAGTCATCAGTATATTTTCGTAATTTACCATTGCATTCATATTTTTTAGATTTGCTTTTACAGTGACTCAAAAAAATATATGGATCAGTCAATTAATTTATTTTAGTGAATAACTCAAGAGTCGCAAAATTGAATACTTTGAGATCTTGCAGACGTTTTAAAGTTATTGTAAGCATGGTAAATTGTTAAGAATATTTATTTATTCCCCCCAAAAAACTGACGGAATGGCTCACTCCCTTTTCGCAGATAATTTTGGGAATACAATACAGTTATTTTTATCACGCTTTTATTAGCTTGGGTTGTATGTAACGGAATCTTTGAGCTTAATTTTCATCGGTTTCTAAAAGTCTGATCATCTTGAAACTTTGCACACGTCTCAAGGATCGATGACAATGCAATAATTTGATAATAGTTTCCCATTATCCTTATTAGGAGCGCCAGGATTTATAAATTCTTTTATGGATCCTGTGTAGTGGAGTAAAAGAGATAAAGCTAGCGCGCGATCTGCGCATGCCTGTAGTATCTGGTTTACTCTTCGTTGTAATTAGTCTTGATTAAAATACAAATAACGGATATTAAATGAAAAAAACAAGAACGGACTTTTAATTAACTAAACGTGTGCAAAAATGGCTGATCGCATCTTAATTGTGTCAGTATATACCACGGTTATCTCTCTCCGTGTCGATTATACCGATCTATACCGATTATTTCTGTTTCAAGGACAATTTCTGCATAGCTTTGGTTTTACAGTCGGTAAAGAAGGAATTAATTATAATTAAAACATATCTAATCATGAATTCTCACCAACTTAAATAAAGATAACAAATTTTGATTCAGAAATACAAACATGGAGGAAAATTAACCATTTGGGGGTAAAACTAACCACAATGATGAATTGTGTCCCGTTGGTCCGTGAGGGCGATTGATTTCGAACTAATTCCCGTTGATCGATCATACGGAGACCACTGAGTGGTTCTTTCTAGAAAAATCTAAATAAGTAATTAATTCCCCAATTTATGAATTTGTCGCAGACTAAAAAATGAAAAATAAATAATAGTTTAAAAAACTAAAAAAACACGCTTTTATTGCTAATCGAACTAAAAACTAGAAAATAATTTTTAATGACAGAGTTTAATATTACAGTAGTAGAAGATCAAACAATCAATCATAATAAATCACCTCAAATTAAAATTATAATAAAATTTAAGTTATTAACAGAATAATTCAATTCAGAGTAAAAAGCGTGGGGTGCTTGATATTTTAAATATTACAATCATTCTATTGGCAACTATCTATGAGAGGATAGTTATGAACCGCAGTAAAATGCACCCCACGCTTTTTACTCTGAATTGAATTATTCTGTTAATAACTTAAATTTTATTATAATTTTAATTTGAGGTGATTTATTATGATTGATTGTTTGATCTTCTACTACTGTAATATTAAACTCTGTCATTAAAAATTATTTTCTAGTTTTTAGTTCGATTAGCAATAAAAGCGTGTTTTTTTAGTTTTTTAAACTATTATTTATTAGTATTACACTGCACCAATCCAAGGTCGTATACGTGTTGATAGTAAATGTTGATTAGGTCATCACATAATTGTGTGAAGAAAAGACTCAACTCGAAAATGCTGAATATGTTTCATTATACTTTTGGTGCGAAGGAAGTTCTGTCGAAACAATTTTTTGACAATGGTTGATATAAATAAAACTCAGTAGATGCTCATACTCGAAATACGAAGTATCTACTCGAATATCAAATCAAAATATTTCTAGTTTTTCTAGATGATACTAATACTTGAGTAAGTAACAGTTGATGCTCAAGTAGCATCTCGATACAACAAAAAAGGACAACAGTGACAGTGTTCAACCATCAAGGCTAAAATCGAGTCACCAAAATATAAGTTAGTCTGGGGTAGACACCTTGAGATGAGAATCTCTATGGCCAGTGCTAGAAAAAACGCACTGCACAATTTATGCATAAATAAAAGTTAATTACATGAAAAGTTTTCGATAGTCCTGCTCCTAATGTGTTTTTCAAACTGAATGCACCTTTTGACGACGTTCCACGTTCATGAAAGTCACCATGTTTAGTTAAAATTCACTCTTACAACGATCCTACTGGTTTTCTAAGCTGCTTTGCAGACAGCTCAGTTATTTGCCACGCCGATGCTCATTTCTAGATTAAATGCTCACAAAACGCGTAGATGTTCAGTTTGTGTCCGGGGAGATACAATGTTTCCAAGTAGGCACTCAGTACATAGAGTAGATGCTCAGGTATATAAGAGTAATAATGAAGTAGGTACTTCGTACTTCGAATATGAGTATCTACTGAGTTTTATTCGTACCACCCAATGTCTCGCTTCAATGTTTGATTATGTTGATTATGAGCACAACGCTGATCAACTTCGATATCCGAATTACCCATGAAATAAATCATTGCGGTTTGCACCTGAGGTAGTTCGTCGCACATTTGATTGACTTCGTGGACCTATGTGAGGTTGTCGTCTTCTCGGGCTTGTAATTAACTTCATAAAACGACACAGAATTATTTTCACAGTTAATCAAATCTGTAAATTTTGTCTTGAGAATTTTAAAATATTGAAAACTTCAAATTAAATCCTCGAATAACGGTAAAGTTTGGGGTTTTGTCGAAACCAACAAAGTGAATATAGGTAAATAGAATGGTAGATCAAAATGAATAAGAAACTTTCGCAATGTGTAATTAAATTCACTTTAACCAAGACTTTTCTTAAAATAAACGACGTTTTTTTTACGAAAAAACAAAGAACGATTTGAAATGCAATATACTTTTCACAATCGCACGGAAGAATTAGTTTTGTATGACACGTCAGTTAGATGACAAGTCCGTCAGAAACGCCAACTATTGAAAGTAATTCGAAGTGGCGATTTCCATACAAAATTTTTAGAATTTTTTTATTTTTTAACTGTTCTTTTAAGTTATCCTTATTTTTTTATTTATAAACCAACCCCGTAATATAAGAAATGTTTCAAATCGGTCAAGCCGTTTTTGAGTCTTAGCGAGACTAACACGAACAGCAATTGATTTTTATTTTATAGACGATTAAAAAATGGGGGTTGGTGGTAGAAAGGTGAAAATTTAGGGTTATGTGTATTTTTTGATGCCAAATCTTAAAAAAATAAAATAAAAAATTTTTTAGGGTGGGCCACCCTTATCACTTTGGGGTTTAAAAAATAGTTTGCAACCTATTGTCAGACCTACCGAATATACATAAAAAATTCCATACAAATCGGTCAACCCATTTCGGAGAAGTTCGGTTACAAACACTGTGACGCGAGAATTTTATACATAATGCATTATTATTTTAGAACAAATTTCATTACCATAAAAAAGGTTATACTGACTCGACCTTAAAAGATAGACATATGCTGTCGCGGACTTTTCTTTAGAACTTTTAGAGGGGAACAATTTCGTCATACATGATTTTTACGTAACTTTAACCGTTTAAGTAGCGTAAGCAACGGAAGCTGTCAAAGGAGGAATAATTTTCCCGTTTTTCCGAATTTTTCATTGCTACTTCGCTCCTAATGATCGTAGCGTGATGTTATATAGCCTAGATGTAGATATGATACATGGACTATCCAACACAAAAAGGTTTTTTGAATTTGAACCAGTAGTTTCTGAGAAGAGCGTGTTCAAATAAACAAAAGCTTCAGCTTTATTATATAAGTATAGATATAAAAAATTCTCGACGCTGTTTTCAGTTGTTAAAAACGCACTAATTTTCTGACCAGAATGCCAATGAATCTGTACAATTTCTTATATAGTCAGTGTCACTCCAAATCTATTCTGGTTAAAATTCGATTTTAATTTACTACAATTTTGTTGAAAATCTCAATTTTTGTTAAAATTTCTTTTTGCTATTTTTGATCACAAGTATCTTAGCTTAAGGCAATTTCTAAAAATCCTTTTAATCTAAAAGTTTTACTTTTTCTTTAAATTACTTTCAAATACGGTTTTTCTCCATCCCTGAAACAACACAACAAGCTCCGACCTACTTCTTTATTTTTAAGATTTGTGAGTTTTGAAAAAAAATATTAGAATTTTTTGAGCA